TACTAATAGAGGAAGGCAGGCTGAATCTACACGGTAATAAGGAAAGCAATCTCTTATACTTCGCCTGCCGTTCCCACCCTCGCCTGCCATTAATTTCCCGTCATTATCGCCCCAAACAACATCTTATCCAGACGGTTAGCTAACAACTTGATAGCCGTGCGACAAACTTGATTATCTTAAATATCTCGCACGAGACTTTTCATGTTGCTTTAAATTTGCATCGGTCTATGCATTTTTATATACTCTTGTTTTTTATCTCATCATATTTTTAATATTTTATAATAATCATTTTTCTATCGTATTTAATTAAATGTTTGAATTGAAAAATCGTCACACGTGTCAAAAATTATCATACAATCTTGAAAGAATACATTGTAAATATTATTATAAATATGTTTTCCAATAAATTGTGATAAGTTATCATTTTAATAAGGATGTATATTTTAAACAAAATAAAGCGTAAAACTTCTTTTTTTTTTAATCATTAACTTGTTCTCATTAATTATTGTAATTTTGAGATTGTTATAAGTAGTTGGCAAGTATCCTTACACATGTCGTAGATACGTAGCGCGTTTAGGTGGTGTATTCTCGGCATTATTCACCGGTAAAGCATGCTCGGTTCAGTACCTAACAGAAGGATGGGTGGTCGCTCGTGCACTGTTCTCTTTCCATCGTGTATCTCCTTTGAGGCTTATCATGCTGCGTCTTCTTCCCTTATGAGAAGATGTGGTTCACCCTTGAAGGTAGAGAAAAAAGTGGCATCCTCCACCTCAATGCAAATCCATCATGCAAAGAGACTTAGTGTGCCAACACTTTTTTTTTCTTTTATATTTTGATTAATATTTGCAATGAATCTCACATAGTTCTCTGACGCAAGAAAAGAAATAGTCGTTTTAATGTTTATCGTTCTAAACATGAAATTTATATTATAATCTAAATAAATTTTTGTTCGTATTGTTTAATCTAAAGTTGTATTCAACTTAAATTTTACGTATTGATTTTTTAAAAAAAAGATGAAATATTTGTGCTTTTTCTGGAATTAAAATTCACATAGTGGCTTCGGATCTTATACATAATTTCAAATTTTATAAATCGTAAATGTAAGTTTTTATAACTTTTATAAAGTGTAAATGTAAGTTTTTATAGCTTATATAACTTTAATGATTTTAGTGTGTTGCTAAAATTTACCAATATTGTCCTTAATATCGTCGAAAAGAAATTACATTGCGGCGAAATCTGTGCAGTAATGGAGTACAACCTACGTGTTGTGCAAGCAGTAAATTGCACCGTCCAAAGTGGCTGTTCTCCGTGCGCGATTTCGGGAAAGGACTTCTCTCGCTTATGAACGATATTTTCGTCTGGCGTATAATTCGCGCAACTGCTCGTGTCTCGTAAGTAGCTGTATTTAGTATAGGAGTGCGCGAAAGTACGCGTCAAACCGCGTAAATGCTCGTCTGCCAGCTGCTCGAGACGCCTGTGGTTGTCGTTGATGCACTGTCACTTTAATTATACGTCTCAGCCATTTAATGCTAAATTGTCTTATAATTCGGGTCAGCTGAGAGTCATTCTTTATTGCAATTGAAATAGGTTCGAATGGCGGCTTCTGTGCTTGCGAGGAATCCTCGGAACTTTGTATTAAATCGCGTGCAAGCAATTGTGGGTATTAATCCTTATAAATCTTTTAATTTCTTGTTTAATAAACAAATAATTAAAGATATGGATAGGAAAGATAGAATATATATCATATAATTAAAGTTATTAATTTTAGCTTTTAGTTTTTATAGAATTTTGTGAAAAAATAAATTTAAATTACACTTTTCAAAAGCATTTCCACTTAATCTTTTAAAATGAAATTTTGTAAAACTAATTAGTTATTGCATACATTTTTTCATTACTTTATATTTTTTTAAATTTAGATGTATCAATTATAAATAAAAGATTATTTTACATTGTACTAAATATAATAGGTGAATGAACTCATTTTTTAGTGTTCTAGATTTTCATTTCTTGCGAAATAAGCGAATCATTATGTGCATAAAAGATCTTTACAACAGATCTTTCTAAATCCGACAGAGTACTTTTAAGTGCCGAACGTAATAAAGTCGTTCACCGAGAGATTGTTATTTTTTAGAAATATGTAGATTGACCTTAATTTATAGCGATCGATGAGACGGGTCAGGGGATAATATATCGCCAACTTTGCGAGCGGACCTTTGCCATCGCGCCGGCGAGAGAGACCGAGAGTTCTTTGACCGCTGAACTGCGATACAATGCAACATTTTGCGTCGCAATATTGACCTATTGATACATAATAAATAAATCGATAAATTTTTTGCAAGTGTTTAACTGAAGAATTTATACACGTATGCATACATGTTTCCGAAATGAGACATTAAGAAGAAAAGAGACTTGATAGCATAGCCGAATATGTCATCATGTTTATAATCTATTATTTTTCTAGCTATATCATTTATTTGGAAATAATAATATACAATATGATAGTGAAATTTGAAAGAGAGATGCGTGATACGTAAAGTTGCATAAGAGAAAAGAAATTAATGTCTGCATTAATGTCTCAGCAGAACATCCGCCGTGCATACATTATGTTCTTTGCACAATCCTTGTAATGAGTATAATAACTACTAATTGCTAAATAAGCTAGTCTTTTATATACCGTTAGCAATATGCATAGATTAAATATGTACAAGGTTTATGATATCTCGCAGTTATGTAAGACGCGAGATGAAGCGAGAAGAATGAGTATGATATCACACACTTACATGCAAATCTGCCAACTTTTACCTGGTAATTATTTATATGAACGCGTAATCCATGTTGCGCATTAATTAAAGAGAGCTATGTCCTATTAAGAGGTAATTTGATTTAATAGCAAGATACTCATATGGTGATTTCTTGGAATAGTTCAAAAGTGTTGCAGAATGTTTCGCATATTTAAAAGGGATCGATAATATAATAAAATTCACGATCTTTAGAGATACATAGATCGATTCGATGCAAGTTACTCAAAGGCTGTATCTCCTGCTGTCGATTACTGACGTGCATCCGCATGTAGCGCGGATACTTTCTAATGGAGCGACCTTCAAGATCGATACTCTCATTCCGTTCTCCGCGTGCGAAATATTTCTCACAGCCTTGTGACAGCGGCCAGACTGGGCCGAAAGGAGCCGGGGTGGATATCCGCGAGTCGGTTTAAATTAGCGAGTCTAGACGTCTCGGAAATACCACGTGGTCACACTACATCCGCCGTCTTCCAATTCGAATATTCGCGCGTCCGCCCACCGTCTTCAATCACAGATCTGTCTGGATTCTCGCAACGTGACTCTACAGCTTGCAAAAATAAAATTTATTGTTAGCCTGCTCCGTGTACGATTTATAACCATACACGAAATAAGTGTGCTTGACTTGTCAACAGCCGCGCAGTCGTAAAAAAGTGCAACAGCAGTTTCAATTTATTGTTCATTGACAATCGTTTTTTTTTTTACAACAGCGAGTTTTGTGTATTCTTTCAAATTTAATGCTAAAAAATTCAATTTTGAATTATTCAGACAATAATTTTAATTTTTTATCGAGGGAATTCAATTTGTTATTATTATTATTCATTATAACAATGCATTGAGAATTTTCAAGAATGCATTTAATTTATGTAAGAGTTATCTTTATATCGTGAATTAATATTTCAACACTTGATTTAAGGAAGGAATTTCAGTTATTAACTTTAAATTTTATTTCTGTTTCAGGTATGTATCTCAAAATAGATTAGAGAGAGAAAGAGACCCTTTATATGGTTCATCCAATTTAGTTGGCCATCATAACTCGGTCTAATCGTAAGTTATATAATATATGATTTCAAAATGATCACTAAAAAATAGCTGTAACCATTATGGCAGTCCAATCGTCGTATCGGTGTATTTGTCCATTTAAACTACTGTTGACGCACTGTTCGCATCATCCTTTTCTGTTTCACCAATCCATTGCCTCGTATTTGCCACGCCCACGATTGTCATCTCGATTCCTAGACTTACACATGACTTACGCATATACACTGTGTGCTCATTTAAGCTCATAAAACGTGCGGAATTGATAATCATCTGGTACGAATAGCAACTTTCGCTTGTCAGTCGTAATAGCTTGTAACTGCAAATATGATTCAATGATTGAGATTACAGACAGGCAAAAGAGCATTTGAAAATTTTAAATTATATAATTATAGAAGGCGTATTCGTATATTGATTTATAATGTATTATAGAGAATAAATCGCTCTCTTGTGATCTTTAAATTAATTTCCAATTTAAATAACAATGTGTCTGAAAAGTAAAATGTGGAATTTTGAAGACACATTTATATGCGTCAATACATCAGCATTTCAAACTGCTGCATTCTACTTAAGATAAGTAATAATCAGTTGTGATGTCTTAAACTACCGATACTCAGGTAAAATATTTCTGATATGAAATAGGAGATAGGAAATTAGGAGTATAGCAAAAGATAAACACAAGTCTAAGACAATTCAAACTTTATCAAAAAATACATTTACATTAAAAATATATTACAAATATTTATTACATTAAATATATACATATTAAATATACATATTAAAAATATTTATTACATTAAAAATATATATTTGAAATCTATTTAACATTAAAAACAGAAAGAATAATTTGTCATCTCCCTCACGTGCACAGTTATAATTCCTCAGTCTCTTTTTACGACGCGTCTACATTTTGCACAATTCGAATTGCAACGCGATTCGCCCTGATTTAACGAGAAAGTTTTTCACACGGTTATAATCGTCAATGTCCTCGTGTTTAACGCGAGGAAGCGCTCGGAGGACAAGCCGGCAACGCGAACGAAAGATGTTAATTGGACGAGAGAGAGAGAGAGAGAGTTACGACGAACGGGGCATACGGCTTTTCCGCCACCGCCGCCAGCAGCAACAGTGGCCGGCTACCGCCGTCTCGTGGGCGCGAGATGGCGCTGCGGTCGCATGGCCGCTCTCAGTACTCGCGAGCCTCGCTCGGTGTGTGTTTCGTGGCGCGGTCGTCGTCGCCGTTACTCGTCGTTTTCCATCGCTTCGACCGCTTGTTTTCGCACGTCGGACGTCCGCGCGCCTTCGCAATTAATTCCGTTCGCGAATCCGTCCCGTCCGACGCCCGCGACGGCCGTCTCATCCGCCGCGTTCCTGTGCCGCCGAACTACTCCGTCTTTCTCTCTCGCTCCCGCTGTCGCGCCAGAAGGAAGAAGGCGGCGGCATTCAGTGAAGTTGTGTCGTACGCACGTATTCGTACATGTGTCAGTGTTCGTGACAGTGCGTCGCGTATCCCGACGTCGTCGGCGTCGTCGTCATCGACGACGTAGAGAATCGCTGGAATCTCTCTCGTCGCCCTCGGTCGCCATCTCTCCGTCTCTCAACGTCTTTCTTTCCCTGCCCGCGATCCTCTCTCTCGATTCCTCTCCGTGTGTTACTCTCTTCCCGCGATTACCTTACCTTACCTTAACCTATCCTACCCTTACCCTTACCTTTATCCTTACCTTACCCTTAGTAGCTCCGAAATCCGAGTACTACGCGCCGCTCCCGTGTGTTTACGATCGTTGCGTCCTCTTATCTGCCGTCTCGCTCTCCTCTCACCTGCACTCCTGTCGCGGACAGGTGTCCCGTGGAAGCAGCGGAGGTGAGCCGACGCCTGTGTGCTCTCTGTGATATAACGTCGGGCCCAACTGCGCCTCGACGCTTCTTCCCGAATCCTGCCGAGAAAACGAGCCCTCCACTGCCCGAGTCGTCCTCGTCCTCGTCTTCGACATCGTCGTCGTCGTCGTCGTCGTCGACGATTACCAGAGTACGTACAATATTTATACGTGATCGCGCAGATTTCGCGTCGACGTGTTCGCGTTCCTCATGTCCGTTATGCGTGTGTGAGAGCGCGAGAGGAAAGAAAATTTTTTCGCATACATATAACGGAGACGGAGATCGCACGCCCTAGTATCGCCGATTTGTCCTTGAAGGTCGTTCGACTCGTGAATGGGCCTCGCATTCTTTTACGTCCTACTCCGACGTCGGTGTATTGTGTTTATTTATCTCACGATTGAAAAATGAGAATGCGTATCTCCTTCAAAATTGTCGTGGAAAAAAATGTGACTCGACCGAGTGACTCGATCGTTACGAAACGTGCTTCGTGTACGAAAGTGAGTGTTTCTAACGGAGATTATTTCCACGATCGCTCGTTAGTGTTTAAATAACGGAGTTAATTATCTGTTCAATATCGAGAGGAAGTATTTCGCGATAAGTCTATCTACGAGAAAGTTTAAATTTTGTTTATCGAAGTGATTTATTTTTATCGGAGCATTCTTCTAAAATTAGTATCGGGGCGTGGTTAATTATTAGTTAAATGCGACAGACATAGAATTGTCCGTAAACACAATCCATGGAATAATAACAGTATTTACGAAACGTTATACAATGCGACGTATTGTGTAATATTAAGTTCTATTTGAATCCATTTCGGTTGAAAATAATACAATATAAATGAAACATTCCGCGCATAATCGTGCAAGAGAATCGCGTATATTACGTTAAAGTAAACAGTGATATTGCTAAAAATAAATCGATTTTTATTCTTACACATGCGCCGAATAAAGTCATTATTCTATTTTATCGCGTTTTCATTAACGCGTCCAATCGGTTTATCCTTCGAAATAATTTTATCGTTCATAAATCTGACCGTAAATCGCGCCGAAGTAATTAAATATCGATGGCCGGCGTTTCATATCGCGCGGAAAGCAGCAGCTTCGATATCCTTTGGCATGAAAGCAGCGCGATCCTATCAATCTTAGAATACCTCAGAAAATTTATTCATATTCGTGTCGAATTACGTAAAAAATTTTCCTTCACCTTCATCTGCGTCTCCGGAAAAAATTCCGGAGCAAGATTCATTTTTTATTTCAATTTTAATTATAAGCTTCAGGATTTATTAATCTCTCACACACGCCGATGATACATTATTATATTTTATTAGCAGTTTTTCTCGAAAATTAAGGGATTAATATATTTGTATGAAAATTCGAAAAAATATATTTTTTTAAATTTATCCAATTTACGCGATGATATCGTGTTCCACATAAATCATCCACATAGATCATATTCGGTTATATTTTTTCCGATACATTTTCGAGAGAAAATCGTCTAGTCCACCGTATATTCGTTGTATAATCTTCGGGCTCGCGAGCGGACAATGCGTGCCATTCATGACGACCGGGCAGTGGCTCTAGTAGTTAACTTTTCCTCATTCGCTGATGCACAGGGACGCGACTCTCCTCCAGTCATCAACGTCCGCCAGTCGCTCTCGCGATTCTCCTCCGAGTGCGAGTAATTTTCCATAGTGTGTGCCAATCGCGCGGAATTCCATTGTAAATAGCCTAGTGACTTCTCTGAAACCCGGCACAGACGATGATTTTTCGTCAACTCGGTTTCCGCTAAAGTGCTCAGTGCCATCATCTGGAATAGAACAACCAAGTCGCTTCCGCACCGAAAAGGAATTTCCGTCTAATTGGTCCGACGTCACGATAGAGCGATAACCACTCGCTCGATGTAACATCCGCCGTTGACGAGATCACCTTCCATTACAAGTGTGATAAATCCTGAAAACGCACCTGTCGAAGTAAGAACGCGTCTCTTGGATCAGATGCGTGCTCTTCCACGGGCCGGTCGAAAATTCCCACGAGAGCTCGTCGGAAACCGTTGCGCGTGATCTCGAGATCTCGAGACGATCGTCTCGCTGCGGGATCGCGCCCTCGAGCACGTGGCAGCTGCGCGCGAATCTCACCGTCGAGCCGTGGAGCCGCGAACGAGAAGTGTCGAAGGACGACGACGCGAGTCGCTGCCGAACCCTCGAGGTACCCACCGGGATGCGCGCCGTGTCGACAGGGACCGTGCCCACCCGGTAGCTCCGTTGCCGGCTCTCGTAGCGATCCTCAGGCCGTGGCGCCGAAAGAGACGGGGTCGCTGCAAGGATCGGGCTCCGAGCGCCGCGATGTCGATACGCGTGAGTGGCGTCTACCTGGTACCCAGTCCGGGCGCCGACAATGGCGGCAACGATAAGAGCGTGGACCATCAGGAGCAGCATCACCATCACCATCATCACCATCATCATTCGAAAACGGTGACGATCGTGACGGCGCCGCAGCGCAGCAATAGTCTGGATTACCTCAACTTTGAGGAGAAGCGGCAGATCATCGCGTCGTCCTTGTCTCTCAGCGACTTCCTGGCGCATGGACCAGCGGCAGCCGCGGCCGCCGCCAAGGAAGTAGCGGCGAATACGGTGATAGGTAAGTCGATTTCAAGTAAACGTGTGAAAAGTCGCGCGACCATTTGTACCGAGGAAACTGTGCACGTGAGTGTATTGATAGGAGGAGAAAAATTATACACACATGATTGAGGTTTATCAAATTTGTCAAACTTTTGAAAGATTCGTAATCGTGGAAAATTTTATTACGATATAATCTTCTTTTACAATTATTTTATTATCGATAAGATTTTTTTAAACATTCAAATAAATAATCTAAATAATGAATAATATTCAATAGTGATTTCCGCGTTTGATGCAAATCATGGTAAAAGATGTTGCGATATAAGAGATTATTAGTACGAGAGCATTTCTCTCTATTGGATTGGTTACTTCGTACATCTACCTGGGATGAATTGAACAGACAATCGGACGAGGCATTCTTCTCGGTCGATCCGATTCTATAATATTCTATTATAGAGCGTGAATGTTGTCTCTCTTTCTCTCTCTCTCTCTCTCTCTCATTTATCTACGACAATGTCATGTCTGTCATGTTTTATTCCGTCTACTTCCGATGATATTGGAAATAATTATCGCGTAAGCGCGGTAAGCTTTTTATACCGCATAGTGTTTATCTTTTAACGAACATACATGATTTCGATATATTTAAATATTATTGTGTTTTGAATAAACATGTTTCTCCATAACGATAGATTGTTTCAAAATTATATATACAAAATTATATATATTCAAATGTTTCATCATATACATAAAACAATTTTTTCTCTAACAAATTTCAAGATTTACGATCAAAAAATTTCATCTTTTCTCAGTACACATGTTTAGTACATTTTTTATAAATTATAATTATTCTCTTGAATTGGAATGAAATTGTATCAATAGAGACACGAGACTCGCAAAAATGAAGTACTCACTGTTAGTGAACTTGAAAGTAAACTTCATCGCTTCGGTTCGCCAACTGCGTTTAAACAAACTAACAAGAGTCGAACGGCGTAAATATTGCCTCATATATGCAAATCCCGTGTAGAAAAAGAGAGAGTCGGATTTGTGACGTGGAAAGAATTAGTTAATAAGCGACGACGAAACCGTGTGGCTTGACTTTCACCGTGTTTCGATTATTCGAACGATAATTGCCGGCGATTCGTTTCCATCGTTGACGGTTGCGTGATTTACGAGCGGTTGAGAGTTGACGAACACCGCCTCTCGGTCGACGCGATTAGCGAGGCAGCAGCGGTGAATCGAGATAATCGACACGGCGAAGGGCGATGTCGACAGGTAAGTCCGAAAGGACGGGGGATAGGAGGGACGGGGGGGGGGGGACGGCGGAGGCGGCAAGGACGGGCGAAGGGAGGGACGAGGATGGAAACACGCGCGACGCGCGTACGTGCGAGGTAAAGAATCGCATCGCCGTCTCACTCGGATTCCGAGTCAAGGAACTCCGGTAGCAAACGCGAAAGAGGCACGACTTGTAAACAAACCCCGCGTGCGTGGACTGCGTGCGTGCGAGCGGTGCGTCGACCATCGTATACCCGGTGTCCCGAGTGGCGAGATCGATATTGCTGGCGAGACGACGGCGTCACTCGTCTCTCGAAATATTTTTTCTTTCACATCCCGTATACTTGGGGAATTTTCCGCGCCTTCCTCTCTCCTCGTCGAGGCTACCTGGTCTCTTGTCTATCGCGCGAGGGTATCGCGCGAGGTCGTCGGTCGTTGTGCGAAGAAAGGGACAAAGGGAGGCGGTGCGCCATGGCGCCGGTAGTCCTGCTTTTTCCGTCTCTCTCCTCGTGTGCGCGAGATTATTACACGGCCCTTTATTATCTCTGGAAGTTACGTTTTAAACGTAGCTCTTTGGGAAACACGGAAAATTGCGTATATAGTAAGGGAAGATAGATAGCACGGGAGAATGGATAACTAAATATGGAGATGATACGTAGTTCTCTGGACAGTAAATGCGACGCGTTTCTTTTTATTGCGATATAAAATGTTACTACATACATGTATAAAAAGCATAATTTTTTTAAAACCACCACTAATATTTTCGTTATTATTTATACGGTATAATTGTTCGTCACTTTTACGTTTACATTACGCAGAAAATTAACGATAATCTCCCTCTCAGCTCTTTCAATATCTCAATTCGTAGAAATCTCTTACGCGTACATATTGCTACGATAAGGCACGCACAGACATATAATCTCTTTCGATCAGAACTATCAGACCAATTATTATTGCGTAGTTATACACACACACATGTATATATATATTTTGAGTTTAATATTTACTCTATCCATTAGCTGAGATAATTAATCGATAATTAACCGAAGATAAAGTTTCCTGATTTTCATATCAGTGTACGTGATTAATCGTGATTGGGTTACGATTATTTAATCACAATAAGAGCTTGCATAATCGTATTTAATAAACGGAAGCTGACCGAAGTGATATAATAACATTTTAATTATATTCTTTCCCTGTGTGCAATTTTATATAAAAAAGACAAAACTAAAAGAATAGAAGAATAAAATAATTCTGATTAAAATAATATGCCAATTCAAATCTCAATTATAACTAGAATCTCTTCCGCAAGAGCTCTTCAAGATTTTATTCTAGATTTTATTTCGTTGTTTTTTCTCGATTGGATTTTAATAGCGCGCAGATTTTTCTCGTACGATAGGTACGTGCCTAAAATTTCGATCTTGTTTTGCTTTTCCGTTGAGAATTTTTCTACGAGGTACCGCTTATATTGCGTTGCAGCTGAATCACATGTTCGCGTTTATGATGATCAATCATCCTCAATACACGATTATAACTGCGCAGAGAATCCACTTCGAAGTATTAGTTTCGTCTACAGTTTTATTATCCGAGAACACACGTCACAGAATAAACTCCACTTAAGTATTACATGCAGAGAGCATGGACGTCATCTCAATTATAATAATTGAATTTTATTTTTCAACAACAAACTACATTTTTTTCTGTACAATTAATCGATGATTAGAATCTATAAACGAATAACGAGGAAACGAATCGTGCGGTAAACGCAATTAATAGAGGGAATTTCGACATTGGCGAAACCAGAGTATTTAGTTGATCGCCATCACGAAACCGCTTCATTAACAGCCTACGAAACAATAAATACGCCAGATGCGTTACGCAACGCGTGTGATCGTCCATGCTCGAGCAAACGGGAGAAAAAGCATGGTTGATGCAGTAATGGGTGCAGAATGCAGACGTAATGTGGCAACGTCGCGCGGAAATCATTCATTGAGTAGAGAGCCGCTCTTGGTCGGTCGGTCGACGACTGGCCGACCGGCTTGGATAAGAACAACGGAACTTTGGTGACGAAGGGCTCTCCGACGTTGACAAGAGGCCCGAGTTCGTCAATCCGACGTCTGCGATGTGTCTTAAGAATCGAGAAGGCAACTCTGAATCTCCATTAATCCTTATTTAAGCACGCGAGTCTGTTGCACTTCTCATGCGATTTAAACTCTCTCTCAATCCTTATCTAAAGTGATTTTTCGAAATATATACTTCTAGTTTTATTAGGTTTTATTTTTAATTGTCAATAATCAAAACAAATATATTTATGTAAATTTCACGTGCTCATAAATAATAAAATAAATAAAAATATTTATATTATAAATTGATACACGTCGATATATTTTGTGAAGATGACTAAAATAATATAATGGCCTCTTTAAATACTCCCGTTTTCCTTTTTATCGTTTCTGGTCGATTTATTAAATTTGTTTATCATGTAATTAGGTATATTTTATTTTATATCTCTAGATCCGCGCGAGATTTATTACTCCCAAGTTGATGTTTGCTTATTTAAATAACAATTCTTTATTTAACTCCATCAGGCATATTCCACGGGATTACTTGGTAATAAGACTCGTGTAAATAACGTAAATTCGACACGGCATAAAAATATGAGCTTTTTTCTTACGTCTTCGACATAATTTCCCTCGAGTAAAGGTAAAAGCAAGAGAAGAATTTCCTCGTTTAATCCATAACTATATGTACCAGGCAAAATGTTAATTATTTCATAGAAATGTGTGTGAGAGTTCTTTTGTTTCTTATCTACTTCCAGCAGTTGTAAAATATCTCTTAATCTATTTTATTAAAACTTTACTCTTGCAAAAATAAACAATTTTCATTTAGTTGATTGTGTTTTATCATCTTCACTCATTTCTAATAAATTTTAATTAATAACATGCATCTTTTTCATGATAAAAGTTAAAAATAAATCATTATATAAAAGGATTATATAAATATCAAAAGTAAAAATTATATAAAAAATATTTCTTAAAGTAATATCATATATTTTCTAATAACATTAATATTGAAAAGATTTTTACTGCAAAATTAAAATGTGTAAAATAAATAAAAATATTTTTGCTATATCGTTACGATAGGGAAATTTACATTATCGTCAATTCAAGATTTAAAAGTCAGACGTGTTCGTTAATTAATTATTCAACTACACATATTTTTTTCTCCGAATTGTACGAAATGTATATGAATATTTCTTTGCATAATGCCGGCGCTGGCTTATCTCGGTGCTACGCTAGAAGCAAGAACAAAACATGACTCATAGAAGATTCATCGTCTAATTTCGCGCGTATATACCGAGCTTTTCCGCAGCGAAAAACTCGTCGTCTGAGCGAGACAGCAATCGTATCTGTTTCAAGTTACGCCTGCGGCCTTTTTTAATGTGTCATTAATTATTAATCAGAAGTATTCAAATGAATGTCCACTTAATACGTAATTTTTGATCGAGCTGCTATTTGTAAATAATTAATTTATAAATAATTAATAACCAATATAAATATCATTTTATTTAAGATAATTTAGTCTCCTATCTTGGATTACTAAAAGAATAACAAAGTATCGCGCCACAACTTTCGGGGCCGTCCTGTATATTATGTTACGATCGCTCGTCTGTATTTTAACACAAGTCTCAGACTGACACGTCAAAGAAAGTTGCCGCGGGCGTATAACTGTACAGTACAAATAACA